TATTCTTCCATTCCGACCACTTGGACGGTTTGTCTAGGGTCAACAAGTATTGAGGGTAGGTGGTCAATGTATACCAGGCTCTCCACCCACAGGGCTGCTACTCATATAGTGCATGTGGGCAAAGGCCTCCCAGCCGGGGTTGATGTTTTGTATCTCGCAGGCGGAGATATAACCTAAGATGTTAACCCATGAATTAGGAGTTAACTGCCAAATACCCACCATACCCTCAAAGAATGGCCTTTATGGTGTTGTGCAAAGGGAAGCGGAGACTAGCTAGAAACGCCGCCTCGTAACAGCCGAAATACCCGTTTGAATTTGGTTGATCATTATCCCAGACTATAGTGCCCATCTCAGGCGGCACGATTATTCTCCAATCTTCTACAAGAGGACGTATTTTGACAAAGTCCTCTAAGTTTCTGGCCATGTTGGCCCTATCTCTTGCAGAGACGGCGATAAGGAAAGGGTCGCCCTTATTGTTCCATGTGGGCCTCTCCTCCTCCTCGCTATCTGCGTCCGGTGTAAGAAGGCTGCTGCTACTGCCGCTTTGCTCTGAACCGGATGAGGAGGCGGTCTCTTCACCGCTCGCGTTCTCTGAAGGGTTTTCCTGTTCAACCCTGGAGGGAGAGGCGGCATCTTCACCGCCTTCCTGACCCAATCCCAGTATTCCATCACTGGGAGTGCTTGGGGTGTCATGCGGAGATCCCCTTTGAAAGGAATGGTGTCCTTCCAACAAGTGTATTCTTCCGATAGAGGGTTTAGAATTATTACGGAGCTAATTCTTCAGTAAGGTCAAGTGATCGGAATGCCTAGGTGGAGGCCGCTTCCGATCAGTAATATCAATGTACAATTGATGTTACAGCTTAATCTTAACTGAACCCTTCGGGTCGAACCCAATCGAATCACCGATCCGAGACGACGAATTAATCCGAAAGGATTTAATGAGTCAGCAGAGTTTTACGAATACAGACGTCGGATATCGAGCCTAGGGCGTCGAGACCGAGCGTCGCGAAATCATAAAGCAACAAGTATGAACATAGCCCTAGCACCACACTGGCCTAGCCATGTGGATGCTAGGCTAGTTCAAGCTAGCATGCACCTAGCATGGCTAGGTGCACGCCTAAGCACACTAGGTGTGCTAGGCGCACCATAGCAGCCTAGGCGCGCCATGGCAACCTATCGCAGCCCTAGCATGATGCCTAGGCACCATCGTTGCCATCGTAGGCAGTATGCGCACCATAGCACACCATCGCAAGTGCTATGCGCACCATAGCACACCATCGCAGCCCATCGCAAGTGTTATGCGCATCATAGCAACCCATCGCACCATCGCAGCACAAGCACAACACCATCGCATGGCTAGGCCAGTGCGTGTGTGCGTGTGCTTGTGCCTTAGCCCATTGCATCATCGTAACAAGCATGTCTGCGCACATGCGTGCCTTCGTATGGCACTGCATCGCAGCATGCGTGCTTGGGTGCTAGGCACCATCGCAGGCACCTTGCACAAGCACAGCACCATGGTAAGCCTTGTGTGCGTGTATATGTGCGTGGAGGGCATTGCAGCAGCAGTAGCATGCTAGCGTGTGTGCGATGGCGAGGGGTGATGCGTGCCAGGAGCCAGCACTAGCACCTAGCTAGCAAGCAGCAACGCCTGGCTAGCTAGCGAGCAGCAGCGCTGGGCGTGCTGTGCATGCGAGGGAGCTGCTAGGCAGCCTGGTGCTAGCTGGCTGGGCATGCTGGCAGTACCAGCTGGCAGCCAACCCAACTGCCTTTGTGAGTGGCGGTTTAGGAGAAGTGGGGACCAAAGCCTCTAGGCTTCCCTTGGGGAGCAAGGCAATGGTCCCCCCATGGGATATGGTCCTCACCTAACCCATTATCTCCTCTTGCCACTTGTTGCCTTGTGATTGCTTGCTTAATTATTTATTTTTAAATTAAATAAATTATTGCAATTGCACATGATCCCACATTGATCATGAAAAGGGGGTTTTAGTCCCCATTCTCTATAAATACCCACTTGGTTGGGATTTTGAGAATACAACCTTGAGTGGAATTAAAAAGGCAACACTGAGTAAGAGTAAACCTTTGATTTGTAAAACTCATAGTTATTTTGTCTGGGTCTTGACTAACCTTCAAGACTTAGGACGCTCGGGTCGGGTCGAGGGTACGATCCGTCGGAGATCTCGTGTTTTCGGGATTTTGAAGTAAGAGCTCTTTGGGAGCGAAGCACGCGTCAAAGGTATAATTCTTGTTCTTAATATTGTTTGATTAAGTTTAATATGCTTGTGTTAATTGTTTTAATTAAGGGGCGGGTCTTGGTGGGTTTCCTTCCGCGTAGTGTCGGGTCACTACGAAACCCTACACCCTTGTCATCTCAACCTGATTAGAGTCAAGCGGCAATTCTTATGAGGTTTCCCCTCTGTACTCTGGATCAACGGCTGTTTTCCTAGTTCGAGCCATTGCGTCCTGCACAGAGACAGAGACGGTCGATTTTGGAGATGAACAAGGAGAGTCCCAGTACCCAAAGGCGGCACCGCCAGTCCTAGACTCAGTCGTACCGGGAGACTGGCTGACCTCTAAATCGTGATATGCTGTGTGTGAGTGGGGTGAGCCCATTATTCTACCAATATATACAGCCGGGAAAACTTAAAAAACCTCCAAAAAAGCAAGGAACAAAGGCGTTACCTTGTAGTTGAAAGAAGATGTTGGTGAAAGAAGTTGAGATTGTTGACCAAAGATACCCCAGACGGTATCACTTTGAATAGGCTGCAAATTGGCAAAAGAAAGCGAGGTTAATTACCAATGTTGCCCAAAGATACCACAGGCGGAAGAAGCCGGTTGTGGTAGACATACAGAATAAGTGGTCTAGAGTTTTTTATGAAAGGTTGTCCAAAGACCCCCCAGACGGTATAAACCGGCTGAGGACTATTATAAGCAACTTATGAAGAAAATTGTACGGAACTACCACAGGCGGCTGAAAGCCGGTTGCGCATCCATTAAAACAATAAATCAAGAGGCTGTTCGCAGATACCCCAGACGGTATAAGATCGATTGAGGTGTCAGCAAAGCAGCTTAGAAAGGAATTGCTCGCACATACCCCAGACGGTGTGAGACCGGCTGAGGGTACCGCAAAGCAATTCAAAAGAATTTTATTAAAGATCCCCAAGACGGTGAAAAACCGTCTGAGGTTCTATTGAATGCAACTCACAATAAGATTGCTTGAAGATACCCCAGACGGTGAAAAACCGGCTGAGGGTCTATTGAATGCAACTCACAATGAGATTTTTTTTAAGATACCCCAGACGGTGAAAACCGGCTGAGGGTTTATTGGGTGCAATTCATCATGAGATTGCTTAAAGAAGCTCTAGACGTCATGAGACCGGCTACAGCTTTATCAAAAATCAAGATTGAAGAAAATGACAAGGTCAGGCGGATACCTTAGTAAGACGGGCAAAGAAATACTCAACCGATATCCGGATGAATTGAGGTTGGAGGCTGTTTGCACGAAAAAGCAAGCGGGATCAGGAGCTCTCTTTTCTCTCAAATGATTTCTCTCTCAAGTTTGGCAAAGTGAGGAATGAGAGGAGGGGGGTTCCTATTTATAGGAAATTCCAGAAGGCAAACCGTCACCTTCCCCCCTTCAGTTTCAAATTCAAAAAATGGGGGGAAGGAGGCGAACCGTCGCCCTCCCGCATGGTGACAAGTGTCATAGGTGCCACGTGACAAGCCACGTCACACCTGTGAGGGGCAAATGATTGGGGTAAAAATTACCCCTGCCACGTGGACCAATGAGGGCCTGACACATGTCACCCTCATACAGGCCCAAGGGGATCCAATCAGAGGATGCCACGTGGCATTGAACCCCAAATGGGGGAGCAGATTCTCATCTGCTACAAATAGAGGAATCATCCTCATTTATTGACATTCATAAATACATACACGAATACCGAACAATATTAATTGCGGAATCTCCCTGAATGAGAGATAAACACCCATTTTACTTTCCGCACGCTTACTCATCCGGAATCATACTAACTTGATCTTCGGAGGCGGAACTCCACCCAACCGGAGTTTCGTGGTTTTGCAGGTACAGAAGTCAGGCAGTCATACCCAGTATAGTAACTTTCCCGAGGGACTAAAAACACCCGAAACAATTGTTATATAAAAGTAAGGTTTGCATCTAGATTATGACTTTTATCTATATAATATATAAAGTGAAAGGGGGCTTTGGGTGATAAATTTTCTTTCCCAAAATACCCCTCTCATTTTTTATTTTCCTTATAAAAAAAAACTACCTTCATTTTTTTAGGAAATAACTACCATTAATAAAATAAAAACTACCATCCTTTATTAAAAAAAAATTAAAAGCTACCTATTTCTTTTTAAAAGAAAAAAAAAACTACAGTTCTATATTTTTTTTAGGGAAGTCATATCCTTCTATTGCCTCCATAATTTCATCAATTTTTAAACGCACTAATACTTTTTTAATTAAATTTTTTTTAATTAGAATAAGGTTAATAATATTTCATGAAAAAGGGAAAATCGAGCCATATAAATTTCTTATAATGCACACGCATTGTGCGTGTGTCTCATAGCTTGTTTTATATAAATTCTAAAGTAAACTTCCTAAAATATCAACTTGCACTATATAACTATTATATATTTAAATATTTTTTATCATATGTTTGCGGTTTTTAATATATTTCAGGCATGTTAATACTTGATCAATCTATTCACTATTATTTTTTATATAATTATTACTCCTTAATTTTTTTTTTTATTATTGCACAGGGTTTAAAGTTTTAAATTAGTTTTTTACACAAAGCGACAATCTACTTCGAAATTTCATTGGAGGGAATATTACCCTCCCACACTCCCCGTTATTTTTTTAAATTAAGGACCAATCTTTTTCTTTAATTTTTAATAATTTCATTAAAGAATCTAAGCATGGATTATCCAACTAACTTGCTTTTACCCTCTCTCTCCTCCTTGCATTGTAATGGGTCCCAAAATCAAAACGGAAGAATTACTTGTCTTTAATAATTTCTTTCTTTCTTCCACTTTTAAATCTTTAAAGCTTCATTCACTTTCACTCTCCTTTTCTCTCTCCTCCATTAAAGCGTACTTTGAATTCTCCATTGAAGCGGCTTTCTAAGCTTTCTCTCTTCTACTGAAACAACTTCCAAGGTAATAATTTTATTTCATTTTTGTAACAATTGAATGTCGGTTTCACAATCTAGTGTTTAGTTTCACACAATTGTTAGTATAATATATAGTCAATTTAGGGTTGAACTGTTGAACTTTTCGTTTTAGTTATTCAAGTTATGAAAGATTTTAATCAGCGATTTTGTTATCGGCATTTTGAGTTGCTAGTGTTAAGTGAGAAGAATTTTATGCGATTTTTTGAGCTTAATTTGATAATTGAGTTGAATTTGGTTGCTAATGTGTTGCTGGATTTTCTGTATAACTATAAAATGTTAGGATGAAACTATGAAAATGGACCTATTTTCCTCAGCCAGGCCGGGTGGACATGGAGATGAGTTGTTAGGAACAATCGTTATAATACTTTCATTTTATTTTATTTGCAACTTTGGTGTATTATTTGTGAGATATAATAAATTCCAAAGTTGCAAAATAATATGAAACGGAAGTAGTATTATTATTTGGTATACAAAATTGTATTGGTGGGATTTCCTGTTGTTATTCTTGAGTGTGGGACGGGGTTTATTGTTAATGACCTAAAAGACAAATGTGGTTGGTTTGAAATGGTGCATTACTCAAACCTACCAAACCGATTAATAGTTAAATTAATAATGTCGGTGTTGCAATGGATTGATTTGGGTAGTGTGTAACTTGTTCATTTCTGCTAGAAGGATTGCTCGACACATTCTTGGAGGTTTTGTTCTGGTCTTAAATGGAGGATCCTATTGTGCAATCTCAGCCATTGATGACTGAAGTGATGGAGGAACTATGCAATGGTTCTGCTGACGGTGGTGAAAAAGCTGTGGAAGTGACGAAAGCAGCTGTTGGGTCGAGTAATAGGAGATCAGAAGCAAGGAGTAGTTTAGGTTTGAAAACAGGTGTGGCTAAATCACGTGTAAGTGGGAGTCCACAAAGTCCCAATGTGGTACCTGTAAGGGCAAGAAGAAGTAGCACTGGTGGGTTGGGTGAAAAGCAGTCTATTCCTGCAAAAAAGCAGCAGTCTGGTTCTGGTTTGGTGGGAAGAAAAACTGCTGGTCCTTCTGTTTCAGAGCCAGTACGGCGATCATTACCAGAAACCAGGACGTCCAAGGTTTCTGATGTTGGTAAGAGTATTAGCAAAATGGGTATCAGAGAGACAAAAATGTCAGGGCCAATTTCACCTGGGGCTAGAACTTCGAAGATGTCTACAAGCTCTAGTTTGAGTAAGAATGATTCTGATAACAAGTTGTCATTTACACGTGCTATAGGTTCCTCAACCAGTAAGTTTCATTCTTCTCCTTCAGTTGATAGTACAGCAAGCAGCACTGCCAAAAAGTTAGTGTCAAAGAACTCTACACAGTCAGTTCAATCCCCTTCAGTATCAAGTGGATTGAAGAAAAGTACCAAGCTTTCTTCACCTTTGGCTCGGTCTCCATCTGTAAGTAGTGGATTCAGAAAAGGTACCGTGTCAGCTTCACGGGACCAGAGTTCAAGCTCATCTGGTCGAAAGAAGGCAGCAACCTCTGATTGCCAGGATTCTCATTTCATAGTTCTGCCACAAGTAGAGACCAAAGCTGGGGATGATGTGGTAAGTTGCTATTATTGCTTTAGTTGCAGTCTAGTTGCTATTTGTGCCTGCATACTGCATGTGTCTGTTTGTAGAAGCTCGCAACATGATCACAGTCAGGGTCCTATTCCTATAATTGTTAGACTCTATCTATCCTACAAGTTAGGTTGCCTGTAGTTGGGTATGATAGTGCTTCATGATTTTAGCAGAATTATATATTAAATATTTATGAAATTATCTGAACTCATTCTTTCATGGTAAATTATTTACAAATTGATGCACTATGTCTATGGAAGATAAAAACAGTACTTGGTAGAAGACTAAAAAAATTGCTTGTTGATGAGCTATTGCGGGATACAGAATGGACATTTTTTTTTTTGGTGTAAAATCATTAGCTTTGTTTGGAATGAGCAAGGTTTAATCTTTTGATGTCAAAGTGCTCTCTTAACTTAGATATGGAGGACGGAGAAAGTTTGGTTTAATGAAACGTGGAAGATGGTTTGTTGATATTTTGGTGGTGCATTTGTAAAGGATCCAACCAATATGGAGGGTATAGCCTCCCATGACAAGGTTTTGAGATCGAACTATAGTGAGAGATAGTCGGTTTCTCAGATGAATCTACATAATACACCCTAACACCCACAATTAAAGGTAATCCCTCTTAAACTCATAAAGAAACTGTAGAAAAATCACAAAACTATGTAAAAAAAAAAAAAAAAAAAAAAGGAAAGAACTAGTGACTATATTATGGTAATTGAGCATCTGGTGCTCATTGGTGATATAGGGAATGGAGTCAAGTCACGAAAAAGAAGGAACTACTTTGTGAGTTTATAATCTAACATCTCCATGTGCAAAATGACGGTGTTGAGCCCAGTAATGATAGTAATCAATTGATTGTTGTTTTGCGTCTATGGTTGGGCATACAATGGTTGATTTTTGGTAGTGGGATTGGTGATGAAATATTAGATGGTTAAGCTAGAATTCAAGTTAGGGTTGCTGTTGGCCAGAATGAAGAAGGATAGAAAGCAACTAAGAAAGTCACACAGAGCTATTGATGGAGATTAATTGGTGGGGTTTGAGTGTTTTTTTTTTGGTGTGGTTTAGGGGGAAGCAAAGGTTACAAATTATGAGAAATACATGCCAATTATCCATATTGTTAACGTCATTCCATGCATAATCATTTTTTGTTGTCTGTTAAAGTTAAGCATATTTGTGATTCTATTATAGTTAGCTATGAATTTAACTTGTAAATTATATGTTTAAAAGTTTTTCTCCAAGAGGACTACTTATCCTCTTGTGTTCCTCTTTGTGAATTTTTATAACACTCTATTCTTTAATAATGTGTTCTTGTTACAAGTTATTAGTAGATTATCTATTTCTACTTTTTCATTCAGTTTAAGTAGAATAGAGTAGATTCCCGTTAGTGCATTTTACTTAGTTATTTTCTAGGATTTGTCCTTCTCACTTATTTATTTCTTCTTTCCAATGCTTTAGTATTTCTCTTATCCCGTGGTGACAATATTAACATGCTTTTTGCTTGATGGTTGCTTCATGTTGTGGTTTTAGAGGCTAGATCTGAGAGGTTTGAGGATCCGTAGCCTGAACGCAAGTGGTGTGAATTTGTCTCAAAATTTAGAGGTACTTTTCTTATAATAAATTCCTTCTAAGATGGCATACAATGAAAATTGTCTTACTTTCTCTTTAATACCTATATTTGACATAGTATCATAAAAATTGTGCATGCACTGTTTATATATTTGATGTAAGCTCCAACGCTAAGTTACAAATTTACAATTTCTTGAATTTGGTGCTAATGGGGTAGAATAGTTTGATACTTTGCTCTAGACATATAGATAGATATGTGTGAAACTCTTTAGATTTAATGATTTATCGGAGTGAATGGCTTAAAATGGCTTCGTAAGCTTCCTTAAGCAAAGATACCAATTTTGCCATTTTTTTCAGTTTGAAAATTACATTTCTTTCTCTGTAATCTTGTTTGCAGAGGTTAATTGGCTATTGACCAGCTTGGTAAAACTTTGTGTGGAGATACAATATTTAACTACTACCTCCCTTTCTTATTAGTTGCAACAAAGGAATTTTAATGTGTCTCACTAATAATACCCTTTTGTTGCAACTGATAAGATGCAGAGGTAGTAGCTCAATTCAGCCTTTATCTCTTAAATATGGAACCTTCTTTTGAAGGCGGGTTTTTTCCACATTGCAAGTGTTAATAAAAAAATAATGGGATCTTATGCGGGAGCATAAGGTGAATCCACAATAAAAAATAAACCACCATCTAAATAAACTATTTACACCTCAAGTAGTTTATTTGATGTAAAAATTAAACTACTTTACATCTTCATTTATTTTTATGTGAGATAGCGGTTTTGCTAGCCTGCCAGGTAAAACCACTATTCAAGGTATTTGTTTTGCTAGATGAATTGCTGTAGTAGTTGCCCCTTGAAATTTTTATGTCAAAAAAAGGGAAATTCTCATTGGTAACCTCATGAAATTGCACTTTCTCTTTGGTAAACTAAAAAAAAACTTAATTTCTTTGGTAACCTTATATTCTTGATTAATCTCATTCATGGCATATATATGGTTAAAACCTAAGATATCTTGATTAACTAACTATATTTTGATATGACTAACCTAGGGTTTGTTGATTTTCCAATAATTAGTGAGGAAGGTGAACAATAATTGACAACATGAAATGAAGTAGCAATGAACCATAAAGCTTAATGTAACTCTTAATCCTAGCCAACACCAAGTAAAGCAAAGATTTAAGGAGCAATTACCAAGATTATATCAATCACAAAGATAGAGGAGAGAGAAAACCTCAATTGGTTTCAATTAAGCAAAAAGATGTCCAAACGACAAATATCACCCTATTTATAGGGGTATTACAAAAAGCTAGAGTTCTTAAATTATAGCCCTTCGATTACAAATGAAAGACTAAGATTAAAATGAAAAACCTAAGAGGAAAAAGGACAAAAAAGCAGCCCGTCGAATGGGGGTACAAGACTACAAGAGTGGTCCCTCTGAGCTCTGTTTTTTTTTTTTGAGTATTACTTTCTCTTTTTGTTGTGGTTATTATATTGTTGGTCCTCCAAATCAGTCTGTTGCCTTTCACAAACTACGAACAGGTGTTTCCTTGGCCTCTCTTAAGATGGAAATCAAGGGGGCAGTTGTCTATGTATGAAAAGCAATGTATATACTACTAGAGAGTACCTTAATATCTTACCCATTGGTGTAATTTTTTGGCAGTTCGTTTATCTCAGGGACAATTTATTATCTTCGTTAGAAGGCATTGAAATACTAAAAAGAGTTAAGGTCAGTTTATTATTTTTTATTGGTTTCTCGGCACAACTTTGTTAACCAATTACCTTATAAAGCTTATTCAACTTCACTGTGTTCTATTGCAATATTATGTGCAACTATTTTGATGTTGTTTATAATGACCAGGTTCTTGATTTGAGTTTCAACGAATTTAAAGGGCTTGGATTCGAACCACTTGGGAACTGCCAAGTCCTACAGGTCTTAATTAGACTTTTTATCATGTACTTGTTTTATACGAATCTATTTGGCATGCTCTTGAAAAGTCTCTATGTTTCATGTAGCAACTTTATCTTGCTGGGAATCAAATAACATCACTTTCAAGCCTCCCAGAGCTTCCTAATTTGGAGGTTGTCTCTTGATTCAATATACGTTATATTGCACTTGTTTACACTTCATGATTGCTGCGTTGTTTATCTTACTTCACTTTTTCTGAATTGCTTTTCTTGTTTTCTTTTCCTTTTTACAGTTTCTCTCCGTCGCTCAAAATAAATTGAAGTCTCTCTCTATGGCGAGTCAACCTCGGCTACAGGTCTGCTTTTGCAAAATGATAAAATTTTGGCTTTCTATTCTTCATGTTTATATTTAGCTGTTGAAGCTGCTTGTAACTCTCTTCAGGTGTTAGCTGCAAGCAAAAACAAAATATCATCTCTCAAGGGTTTCCCACATTTACCATCTCTTGAGGTTAGCTTTCTATCATTACCCTCTTTGAAAAGAGCTATCTTTCTTTGTTAGTAGCATTAGTAACCCCTGGTCATTCGGGTTGTATTGTGCTATATTGTAGTGCTAGTTTTTCAGCCAATGCATTGCTGGGGTTTCTTGCATCACACAAGTTATTAAAATATAAAGATTCGGGAATTTTGACTTATATCCAAGAGTCATACTTTAATTAGGTGTATAGCATGGGGGGTATTGAAAAAGGGTAAGGGAAAATAGATGGTCTGATTACCTTTGTTGTTTGTTGGGCCAAATATGTCATTCCCCTTTACCCTGTTTCATTTCGACTTACCCCCAAAATGCCCCACCTCCAAAAATTTCCATTTTCTTTCCTCTGACACCCTTAAAACCATAAATCACCAATAACACTAGCTCACTACCTCTGGTTTTTTACCTTTGGCATCTATTCTTCCTTTTCTTTCTTTGTTTCCTTGATTCGGTTTCCAAATCTCCAATCTCAATTGTCGTCCTCAGATGTCGTCTCCTCTTTTCTACTCTTGTTTATTTGGTTAATATTAGTATTTGGGGTGATGCTGCACGGTGTGGTGGTGTTTCGTGGTGCTGTGGGGGTGCTGCTGATGGTAGTGGGTTGCGTTATGGTGTAAGGTGGTAGTATGTTGTGTAACGGTGTAGCTGTGTAGGGTGGTGTAGGTTGGGTTGTGCAGTAGTGAGGGTCTGATGGAGCTTGGTGGTGCTGGTGGTTCGTGTGAAAAAAAGAGAAGGGAAGCAGATCTTGTTCATCCCTATCTCATCTTAAAACAAACACGATGTAAAATTTAGGGGTTTGTCTTTCCTTTCTCCTTGTTTGCCTTTCTTGAATTCATTCTCCTTCCCTTCATGTGTACAAACCAATGATCCTAATGTTCTTGTTCAACGAGAATAAAGTTTAATTTATTCACATCTCTTACCCTATTTTGTTTTACCTCAACTTATTGCATACGAATTCATATAAGCTAAATTAAAACTTAATGTGTCTTTCTTGGAAAAGCTTCCCTTACACGTATATTATTTATTAAGTTAAATGAAACCTTTATATAGTTACGTGCATAAGTTGGATCAAAATATAAGTTTAATTGTAGAACTTAGTAAATTACATATACCTTGTTTTTTCATAATGTTCTTAATTTTTGTTTCATAATGTTCTTAATATATTTTTGTTTCATAATGAACTTAACATAATCCTCTTTTTTTTATTTTTTTAAATATGTGTTTTCCTCTTTTTTCACTCACATGGTGCAGCACTTAAGAGTCGAGGAGAACCCGATCCTTCGGATGCCTCATATAGAAGCAGCATCCATTTTGCTTGTTGGTCCTACGTTAAAGAAGTTTAATGACAAAGGTCAGTGTTTTCCCTTATACAAGAAATTGATCACTATTGTGATAAAATTTCTCTCATTTCAATAATTTTTACTGTTTGTTTCAGACCTGTCTAAGGAAGAAATCACAATTGCTAAGCACTACCCTACGTGTACTGCCCTCTGCATAAGGGATGGTTGGGAATTTTGCTCTCCGGACTGTGCTGCAGGTTGGTTTTCTAAGGTATATGATCAGTTATGGATCAAGTTAATACCAACTTAGAATCCCTACCTTATAAAAAGTATAAGATAACTCTTAGGAATAGTGTGCTACCAACTATACCACCCTCAGAACTGTGAACAAAAATATGTACAAAAATGTGTATTTACATTTTTACCCTCATTAATATATCTAATGTTTTTTTTTCATTAAACATATCATCAATTAAATCAAAGTTTTTTTTCTTAACAAAAAACTTGTAATGCTTTTTTTTTTTTTGAATAAAAAAAACTTCTAATGCTTTATACTTCATATGTTATTATTATTATTTAAAAAGAAAAAAAAAAACTTTATGTACAAAGAGACTGTTTATTACCAAGAGATTGTTTATTTTTACTCCTTCGTGGTTACTCTTCTTATTTACAATCTTGTCGTCGTTTAACTGCAACTATTGTTAAGGTTTAGCTTTTGAAATTTACATTATTTGATGGCACATAAACAACGTTATGGGATTGTGAATGGGATTCATATTAAATAGTGATATTTGAGCAGACGTTATCAAGAGGATAAAGAACTTAAAAATCCTAAAATCAAGGGAAATTGATGATAGAAAAAAATGGTATTAATTATGGGAGAGAAAATGAAGGAATTTAAGAGGAAAAATAATACTAAGTGATTGTTGCTTTAGTATTATATATATATATATATATATATATATATATATATATATATATATATATATATATATATATATATATATATATATATATATATATATATATATATATACTACCTCCGTTTTTTTTTATGTGCAACTTTGACACAAGTTGCAGTTCACGAGGCAAAAGATTGAAGGGCAAAGATTAAGAAAGTATAATGGTGATTAATATATTATAGGAGTATGTAATTAAGGTGGAGAGAGAATGTTTGGTTAATAAATCAAACCACCCACTGCCACCACCATGCCCAGCCACCACCACCGCCGCCTTCACCAAAACCACCGCCGCCTTCACCACCACCACTACCACCCCCACGAAACCGCCACAACCAACCCCCCCGAAACCACCACCACCCTCACGTCTTTCCCTCCTTTTTCCGGCAGCCCCCTCCCTAACCAAAAAACCCAGAAATCTATCATTCCCCTCCACCACCACCCCTAACCACCTCCAAACCAGACCACCCACCCCTCAAACCCAGACCACCCCACCACCCAAACTCACCTCTAACCCGGACCACCCAAACACTCTCAACTATACACACAGATCCATCAAAACAACACTCAATTCAATCCAAAGTTAACCTCAAAATAATAACTCGAATTAAAAAAAAAACAAAATTAAAAATTTCAAAAATCAAAGAAAGAAACAGAATGTTAATCCAAAGTTTTCAGATCGTAGTGAAAACAAAATAAAAAAAAAAATTGAATAACAACAAACCTCAAAATCGATCGAAGAAACCAAATTCTAGAAATACAGAACACAAAAATTCCGATCTAAATTAAGATCGGATAAATTAAAACACCGTACAAAAAAAAAAGAAGAGAGGGAAAGAGTGAGATCTACCAGTTACTGAATGAAGAAGAAGAACGAGGACCCGAAAATCGAAAATCAGAAAATCGAAAAAAAATAATCCAGAAAGCCGGTGGGTGGGATGGAAGGTGGTTGTGAAGGAGGAGAGAGAATGGTGGTGGGAGGGGCGGTGGTCGTGACTCTCGAGGGAGGAGGGTGAAAGTGGTTGTGAAGGAGGAGAGAGAATGGTGGTGGGAGGGGCGGTGGTCGTGACTCTTGAGGGAGGAGGGTGAAAGAGATGAAGGGTGAAGGTGAAAGAGATGAAGAGGGTGAATGGGTGGTGGTTGGTGGGTAGAGAGATGAGTAAATGGGTGGGTAAAATTAGGTTAATTATTTTAGATTAGACAAAAAAGTTATTGTGTTTAAAATAAAATAAGGGTAACATTAAGAAAATTTGAATTTTTAAGAAAGGGAAAATTTGTAATTTTTAGGGTTTTTTTTTACTAAAAATAGAAAGAAAAAAGAAAGTTGCACATATTAGTGAGCGGACTAAAATGGCAAAAGTTGCACATAAAAAAAAAAGAGGTAGTATATATGTTAGATGGTCGTAGAACATTAAAGAACTTACATTTTTAAGTTTATAGCTGCAACATTTCACATATTATTACTCCATATGACCTAAGCTCACAAAAAAATCATCTGAAAAAAAACCACGCTAGAAATAGTATACAAAGTATTATTGAAACATGCAAATCAATTAAGAGTTCTAAATTAACAATTGCCACTTAAGATATGAAGGGATAATAATATGATATGAAGGGATGCAAATCAATTAAATATAATTTAATAGTAATTTTGGAATAATACCCTCTAACTTTAGAGGGTTAAAAATATATTCGTCATAAAAGGTTTAGGTGCGCTTTCAATCCCTTCATCAAAGCCACCACATAAGCACATAAATCAAATAGTACGTATTAAAAACTACCACCGAAACCAAAGGTGTAAACACACGCCAATACAACTTCTCCGTAAGAGCTAGCCCCTCCGCGCGCATCACGCGCGTAGGCCACCCTAGTTACTGTAAAATTAGCAATGAGACAACTTCTGGATAATCAAGGTCTCCTTTATTTTCCCAGTGATGTCAAACAAATGTTAGAAGGAAAAATAGATTGGGCATGTGTAAAGAGAATCTCTAAATCTCTTTAAAAGTTTAAGAAAAAATTATTTGTGCTTAATCTATTATCATAACCCCATAAAGAAATAAGCAAGACGGGTTTATGTCATATTGACTCTTAAAGTCTTAAAACTTGTGGACATTCAACTGATCTCCAAAATTGGAAATAACCTGTTCTACAAAGGAAGCTGTTTCACAATTTAGAGTCATCACTAGTTCACTACCAAGGTATAAACAATGGACATTGGGGATAACAGTTTATCTAATTTCCATTTATACTGTTTATCATAACGAACAGTTTCCTGTAGTTTTTCAAAATTGGTTGTCTATCCAAAACAAGCATGTGTCCATGTAAAATCTTCAACTTGGCTTTCCAAATATATTGGTTTGTAAGTAAATGAAAAAAGTGCTACAGGTTTAAACATGCAATGGAGCTCCCTTAACCAATCCCACTAAAATTGTGAACTTACCTAACCATGGATTCTGAAGATTGTATCTAATTGTGATATCCCTTGTATAATTCAACTCTTTACAAATTGGGCCTTGCGTAAAGTAGAGTGATACTTTTTTTTTTTTTTTTTTTGTGGGAGATGAAACGTGGTTCAGAGAAAGGGGTACTCCCTTGCATATGATCCCTCCTGATACTAGGACTGAGTTGCCTGTAGTTTGTCTTACAGTGCAGTGTGATTTATACTTTTTTTTGGACGGGTAATAAAGAATTTGTTAGGGGCATAAAAGGGTGTTGACCCTCCAAAAAAGGAGTAGAGCTAGGGTTGAGGATATTTATCTCCCAAGAACAGTGACAAATTTTCTTTTTCTTAAGAACCTGTGGACAAAACTGTTCCTTTTTTGATAGAATTATTCATGAGCGCTCTTGATTCAAGATAGTGATGCTTTTGCTGAAGTGCTCGACAACATCAAGTCATCAACTATACAAGATCCTCAAATATAACAATTCATATGGAGTGACAAGGATTTCCTCTAAGAAATCTGTGGATTCTTTTCCTTCCATGTACACCGCCGAATAGTCAAAGGAACTACTCTCCACATGTCTGCAATCCATTTGTTTTTGAATCCCACTCTTGAGCTGTTATAGCGTTTCACTTCACGGTTGAACTTAATTAATTTCATATAAAAACTTAAGTGCCAAAAAGATAGTACCTAATGACAAAATGAAGTAGTTGGTTACTTACTCTTCAAATTTGCAGACTATGCTGGCAAGCCATATGATTTTCATTGAAATTATATGCCTGAGAGCTTTTTTAACATTATCTGCGGTCCTTATCCAAAAATTACAAAGCACTGGTATTCCACCAGAAAAGGGAAGTAAGTGTAATATTAAGTTTTCTATTTATCTACAGTTTACTGAATATTGCATTATATATTTTTTTTTGCAGACTCAACTTTTGACTTCCTCGTTGAACAATGGAGGGATCAACTGCCCCCAGGATTCCTCCTCAAGGAAGCATCAATTGATCTGCCTTTTGAGGAAGATGCTTGCCGCTGCCACTTTATTTTCCTTCAAGACCATGGGAATGACTCGAACTTGGTATTAAAATATCAATGGTATGTCGGAGAAGGGGTTCTTTCAAATTTCAAGGCGATTCCTGATGCCATTTCTGAGGTAATATGCTTTTCTCTCTTTAACAGTTTAACACTTGAGGATCCCAAATAAATCTTTGATTTGTAAATGGTGTGTTGTTGCCTCTGCTTGATCATTTGGTCTCTCTGACAGGTCTACTGTCCAAAGCATGATGAAGTTGAGAAGTACTTGAAGGTTGAATGCATTCCTGTATTTGGGGAGACAGAATACCCTCCAATTTTTGCAATTTCTTCACAAGTCTCTCCTGGTGTGTCAATTTTTTTATAGTTGTATTTTGTGCTTTATAAATTTTACAACTTGGATTGTTAATTATTAAACTATTTGCAAAGTTATTGGTTCCAATCTTGAATATTTCTTGTTTCCACATCTAGTAATGATGCTTAGCAGGAGAAAATAATATTCTGTTGATCTGAGTTGTAAAGCCTTGCCTATAATCATTCAATGATAGTAGATAGGTTTCTGTGAATTAAATGCTGCAAAGATAAATTATTTTTGGAAGGAGATGGAATTTCTGTGCTACATTCGTCGTCACTTGTTTCCCATTAATGAAATAATTTTATATGTTTCAACTAAATGAAGGAAATAAAATTTTATAGGAGCAGTATTAGTAGCACTCGGTTGCAGAAGGTGCCGGTGAAGGTGGCCTTAGAAGTGGAGGGCTGTGATTTTTGATGTCATTGTGTTGGCTTTTGGGAGGGTTTTGGTAGTTGCTTTATAGTGATCTTTCGTGATTGTTCATTCGGATTATAGATTGGTTTAGGCTTGGAAATGGCTTGATGTGTTGTTCTTTTCATTGGGTTTTTAGATAATATTTTAATTGGTTACTATCTGAAGTGTAGGATTTTAGAGGAGACATTGGTGGATGTTTACAAAGGTTGAAAGTCTATTGTTGCCAGATATGTACTTAATCTGTTATTTTAGTTCCATTATGATTATGAGCACTGACCCATGTATAATTTTGATCCTTAATATTGTGAATGTTTGCTAGTAATTATTACAAAAAGTTGATTATTTGTACTTATAGGCTGAGACAGATTAAGATCCAACATAAGTACATAACTGTTATTCTTTATTTCTAAATAACCAATGGCAATGATGGTCAAAGTGAGGTATATGGATGATGTCAAAATTCAACATTTTGCAGCATAAGTACATGTCTTTCTTAATTTATAAATAACGAATGGCAATGGTGGTCAAAGTGAGGTATGTGGATGATGTCAATATTCAACATGTTACAACTAAACTATACGCTGAGACAAATTAAGATCCAACATAAGTTCATAACTTTCATTCTTAATATATAAATAACCGATGGCAATGATGGTCAAAGTGAGGTATATGGATGATGTCAAAAGTCAATATTTTACAACTTAAAAAAATGAAGTATATTTGTAAGGCAAATGTGTTAGTTATTTACAGTATGAAATGTGGTATCATATGTGCATCAATGAAGTAGTCATTTAAATATGAACATCAAACTATTTGGTGACTGATAATCTGATATTATTGCTGTTGCTCACTGAATATCTACTGTCCTTGAAGGAACTGGATGTCCAAAGGTCTTGAATCTTGATGTGCGTGGTGACCTTGTTGAGGGAAACATCCTTAAGGGCTGTGCTGAGGTTGCTTGGTGTGGTGGGACTCCTGGAAAAGGTGTCTCCAGGTGAAATTTATTTGCATTAATTTTCTAATATTCCATTCCACTGTTAATTCCAAGCTTTGATCTATTAAGACGCTTTCTACAAAGTAGTTGTTAAGAGACCCAAAATTTGTCTTGTATTGAGAGGAGGTGTTTCTGTTTTTGTTGGAAAAAGGCTGATGGTATAGCTGATCCCATAGATTTGTGATTTTACCTATGAAGCAAAATATTGAACCATCGTTGCATGACTGTTGCACAGTAGTGCTATTATAAAATTTCTGACTCATGGATCAGCAATTGCCATTTGATTTTACTTGTATAATAAATTCACAATCTCACAGTTGGTTAAGGAGAAAATGGAACAGCAGCCCTGCAGTAATTCATGGAGCTGAAGAAGCTGAATATCAATTGACTATAGATGATGTTGATTCAAGTTTAGTTTTTATGTACACTCCGGTAACAGCTGAAGGTACCAAAGGAGAACCTCAGTATGCCATCACTGATTATGTAAAATCAGGTGCATGAGCTTTTAATCCGCTAATTGTGCAACTTTGTTACTTTTTGAATAATTGTGCATTATGAATAATACTCTTTTGTTCCTGTTCTGTTTAGTTTATTTGTATCTTTCTGATCTTTTCGCAATACTATGAATTGGTAATTACAAGCAAAATTGGATTGATTCATTGGCTTTTCACTGTAACTGCATTGCTCCTCTAATATGTTCTTTTGGCTACATCCTGAGACTAAAATACTTTAGTAGCATTTAGCAAGCTCACATGGATGTATATAAATGCTTAATCTGTTGTATGTTGAAGAGATTTATCTGATATGGGCACTATACATTTGTTTGCACTCGGTAGGGTGATTCTCTCGTCCCAAGAGAACATTTTCTTAACTTTCCTGTATATAGTGTAAACAAAAGTCAGAGAAGGCGAGTTATAGATAATAAGTGTTGAGTGTTAACAGAGACTACGTTGTGTTCTATGATGGAGAATACTGAAGTGGGACTAAGAATAGACATGCTGTGTTGTTACAATCATGTAGTTTTGGAAGATCATGTGGTGTAACTGGTGTTGTTATCTTCATATTAGTTAATTTAATATTGCTAAATTTGTTGTTCTTGTAGCTACGTGAATGGTATATATCTTATGTTCAACTGTTATTTATTATCTATCCCCTCTGCCCCACAAAAAGCTTCTTATTTCTCTCAGGCACATGGTTTTAGGAGAGCTTTGGTGTTGGGAACTTTTTATGTTGAGAATAAGTGAATATGAAAATAAAGTAGCTAGTACTGTTTATTGTTTTTTAATTGAGGTGAGAGAAAGTGGGAACCATAATGGTTTAATTGAGTAGAGAGAAGATGAAAACAAATAAAAGGAAGAAAAGTAAAACATTATATATAGTGTGGAGTGTGGACCCATCTCAAGAAAGAATTTTATTCTTTTTTATTTTATTTATTTTTTTAATTTTTTTGGGACTATCTATTACTTTTTTTTTTTTTTTTTTTTTTTTTTGGGATTTACTCTCAACACAAGCATATTTGCTTTCTAATATTTAAGCATACTGTATTGAAACGAGGTGCAATTTAGGAGACATTCACCCTTGCAAGATCTGGATGTGCATGTTTATCCCAGCTGTTTGACTGTTAGCATACTTCATTCAACTAGAGTTGATTTTTCTTTAGCCGGATATTTTGAATGCATTTGATTGATGCATGTTACTGTCTGGTTATGTTTTAGTATTCGTTTGGGATCATAATAATCCTGTTTCTTTCTTGGTGTATGAAATTTAGAGAAATATAATAGTTATAGTTGTCTGACTATGATCATTATCAATGGTCAGCTCCTCCATCAGTCTCTAATTTACGGATAATTGGAGATTATGTTGAAGGCAACACTATAAAGGGTGTTGGAGATTACTTTGGAGGAAGAGAAGGTCCTAGCAAGTATGAGTGGCTGCGTGCCAATAAGGAAACAAGGTTAGCTCATATCAGTTGTGGTTATTGAGTGTTCATTATTTTAAAAGTTGTTTATTCTTTCTTATTACCAGAATGTTGTTTTATTGGCCTAGTTTATAAATATATTTTCTTGAGGAATGATGAATTGTTCTATATACAGGTCGGTCTAGTTTATAAATTTGTCATGAGACATTAGTATGTTTATACCTCATTTGCGTAGATGCTGTATGTTGCCTAGTGTGTTTGAATGAGTGTGATTCGGTGGCAGTTGTTAGAGCAAAGGGTTAAGAAGAGCTGCAGGGTCAACATGGCACCCTGATTGATGTTTGCTGTCTTCATTCATAGAACTTTGTCCAGACAGAACTAAACCAGACCTTGGATTGCCCTACCCAAACCTATAGTTAATCTGCAATTTTACCTGATATGATATTGACCCTAAACCGATCTGATCAGGGAATCAACGCGACTGATAATTATTTTCTTTTGTCTAACAAATTGTTCACTTACCTTGGCTAAACTGTAACCAAATCAAACACCAGATATTAACCAAATCCAAATGATCAAACAAAATGACTCATTTGTCACCTCACCTCATTTCATCTCTAACAGCGTACTAGTCATATAATGTTTGAACATTTAGTTATATTATGTTTTTAAATTTCAAGTACTCTATCATAAAACATAAAATTGAAAAAATATTGGATAAAATTCTGCTCAAATTTTGTCTTGTTCACTGGTATAAAGTTTCAGCTGTTACAGTTAAGGTGATGCAGAAATTATTATTGCGTCAGTCAATGTCATTCTATATTGCTTAGCTTTTGTTTCTTTGGCCACAGAAAACGGTGTAAAAGCTTATATTATTTCCTAATTATTTGTCTTCAGGGTATCTGAACTAATATTAAGTGGGGCTCCTGAATATACCTTAACATGGGACGATGTTGGCTGCCGTGTGGTTTTCACATATATACCTGTGAATTTTGAGGGTCTGCTATCTCTCTATTGTCTTGCATAGTTTAATATATATTTCTATAATTCTAATCTCTGTGTCAATTTGTAGGTAAAGAAGGTGAATCTGCTTCTGCGTTTTCTGATATAGTTAAGCAAGGTAATGGCTAAGATACCTCCTTATTCTGATTCTTCTGGTTATATGTGGAGGTTTGTGAAGAAATTGGCTCATGTGGATATTTCCTTGTGCTATGTTTGATCTACTTTTTCATGTTTGAATTTTTGTATTATCATTGCCGTTTATATTGAATCTTCTATATATAGCCTGGGGGTTGAAGAAGGAGGCTCGTATAGACATTTCTTTGTGCTATATTGATGTATTACTTTTCCAACGTATTGTGTGGGCCAGCAATGCATTGTTATCTAATTTATGTTGACTGTTGTTCGTACGTTGGATTTATTCCATGGGGCATGATTTAGAGAGTAAATTAACAGCACGTTGATCATCTCTGAAATTGTGTCTGGTATACTAAGTTCCCTTGATATGTTGTAATTTTTTTGATTGTAAGATTTTTATTGATGTATTTTCTTAGTTTTGGAAAATGTGTGAAATGAATATGTTTTCTAATGTTTATTGGGAATTTAGAATTTTAATACTACGTATATATATTATCATTAGAAGATGGTTTATCATGTGGCCATTGGTAGTTACTATATTTCAACTAAGGATTCAAAAGGAGGTGGACAAAATGATATTTGTTACTTCTAAAAGTATTAGACAATGCTTTATGGATTAGTTCTGCTCGAATTCCAGTGTACATGCTTTCCACAGTCTTTTTTTTAGTTGATGAAATTTCTATGCTAAGTACCAGCAGGATATGCTTGCTTAGTGAGGCTCTGTATTTAACTGCACTATTAATTTTAGCGATTGAACCTTGATTTATTATCTAGCTTGGAGGAATATGTTAATTCTTGTATTTAGTTTTCCTAATATGCCTGGGTAGTTCTGTGAGTTAAGAGTTTAAAAAGGTTCACGATTTATTTATTTTTACTTTTAGTTTGACTTTCTTCTTTGATTACCGATGACACGAGTCACACGACAGCCACTTAGTGCTACGGATATAGACATTCTATGGTGGCCATAATAAAGAATTATTGAGAATGATGCCTGAAAGCTGCTCGAATTTTTATATTTATTTCTTATTAGATGAACTAGAATTTTGTTAATTGTAAATTTATGTGGAAAGCATACATCCGGCCTCATGTTGTATTACAAACTGCAGCACCTCCAAAGGTAACGAATACAAGAATTATTGGTGAACTTAGAGAGGGAAGTAAGATTACCGTAAGTGGTACAGTTACTGGAGGAACAGAAGGGGCCAGCAGAGTACAATGGTTTAAAACAAGCTTTTTTACTTTATGTGGGGAGGATGGCCTAGAAGCTTTAAGTACGTCCAAGATTGCAAAGGTGGGATTCTTAATCATATTATGGGTTACATATGTAAGAATCTTTTCCAATTTTGTGCTTATGTCTATTGCCACTGTTACCCTTATGCAGGCCTTTCGCATACCATTAGGAGCTGTTGGCTACTATATTGTTGCAAAATTTACTCCAATGACACCTGATGGTGAAGCTGGTGAACCAGCTTATGTTATATCTGAGATGACTGTTGAGAGTACGTGTAACTTTATAAGCTTATATAAAATTTGCATCTATTATTCTCTCTTTCTCTCTCTCTCTCTCTCTTATTATTTTATTTTTTTTGAGAGGGGATGGGGTTCCAAACCATAGTTTATAAGAGAATGATCGTCACAAAATTGTAAGCTACATTGCGGAAGGCCGGAACCAAATGTTGTGTCCAAGTTATTAAATTTGACTCTACTGTTGCAACTCTTCTCGCATTTGTATCTCAATACTGTAGTGAAACTTTGATCATCATTCATTCATTCATAAAAAAATGTTAGAGGAATGAATTCCTGTTTTTTGTTTTTTTAATTTATTTTTTAATTATTTATTTTTATTTCTATACTACCTCCGTTAAATATTAGTTGCAACTTTGGGGTATTATTTGTGAGATATAAAATGTTCCAAAGTTGCAACTAATATTTACGGAGGTAGTATATTTTTATGTTTATTTTATTTTATTTATTTATTTTTGTTTAGCCAGTTACAATTAAGCATATAGCTAGCATTCCTTCTGAGCCAAGATCAAACTCTTCTCTATAACTAATACCTTTACACCATTTTGCAGCTCTTCCTCCAAGTTTGAATTTCTTGTCAGTCACTGGTGATTATTCAGAAGGTGAAATGTTGACAGCATCCTATGGTTATATAGGTGGTCACGAAGGCAGAAGTATATACAACTGGTATCTTCATGAGGTATTAGTTACTACTTAGGGTGTTACTACAGGTTCTCTTCTTTCATCTGACCTCCCCTAAAAGTTAACATGTCATAGCTAACATTTTCTCTATGCATAGGATGAAACTGAAACAGGCACTTTAATGAATGAGGTTTTGGGGCATCTACAGTTTCGAATACCCAAGGAAGCCATTGGCAAATTTATAGCCTTCAAATGCATACCTGTTCGAGATGATGGTATGATTGGCAAAGAAAACATTTGCATGGGACATGAGCGTGTTCGTGCTGGTAAATACATCTAATTTACCTTCTTCACTGTATTTATTTCTACAACATTTTTTTGGAAGGGTCTTTTTTGTTTTCATCCTATATCATTTTAGATCATGTTTAAATTCGTCTCGTAATCAATTTGGAATTAGATATAGGTGTATGTCAATTGCAATCATTAGTGCCTACTTCCTTAATCAAAGAAAAGAAAACTTGTATCTGGTTGCCCACATTAAAGGCTATTGGGACTCATGTGCAGTAAATAACACATTCTCAAAAATATAGCTGGTTGATCATGATATTTTATTCCTATGTAAACTGAAGACTTTAATAAATTTATAATTAACAGTGTTGGATTCTTGAAATTTTGTTTGACAGGAAGCCCAAGGTTGATATCTTTGCAAATAGCTGGCAAATCTGTTGAAGGATCAACATTGGTTGCTGAGAAATTATATTGGGGAGGTGAAGAGGGAGAATCAGTTTTTCGCTGGTTTCGGGTACTGCATCCAGTTTATGTTGCATGTGACTGATATTCGCTCTCACTCAAGTCCTAGACTTTATTTTTCATGTGCATTTTGAATCAATCTCTGTTCAGATTATTTTCACTATTCGTCATGTTGTGGTGGTGAGCTTAAATTTATTCTTACACCGTTTTGTTTTAATTGCAATGTGGTGGTGGGGGATGCATAATTTTCTAGGCGAGGAGAGATATAAAAAGAAAGACCCACATGATTAGGAGAGGAACATAGAGAACAGTTAGCCAAAAAAAAAGCAACGTAGCATACATTTTGCAACTTTCCAAAGAATATGTTGCAATAAAAATAGAATGAAGTGAGAATGATCTAGTATTATTTTCGAATTTTATTAGATGCAATTACTGTGTTCTTAGCATATTTTACTTGTAATTACAGACTGATTCAAGTGGGCAACAAATTGAAATCAATGATGCTATGACAGCATCATACACACTTTCGGTTGAAGATGTTGGATGTTTAATATCAGTATCCTGTGAACCTGTTAGAAGTGACTGGGCACGTGGTCCAGAAGTAATCTCTGAGCAATTTGGTCCCATAGTACCTGGTAAATTTCTAGTAGTCTTTGAAATGTTTATGGTTTCACGTTTCTGTTATAGAAAAAAAATGGAACTATTTAGCTCTTACTTATACCAGATTTATCTGCTCTATGCAACATAGTAATAGACATTTATACTACCTTGTGTTGAAAATGTCGAGTAACATTCGTTTTAGCGCCACTATTAAACAAACTAACTTATGGTATTATGATTTTTTCTTCAATTCAACTCATTAATTTAGAAAACAAACAAGCGCAATTGAGCAATTGACTTGTAATTTTTTTTTTTTTGGTCCTCAAATGTCTGTTGGGGGGTGTTCAGAAGGTTCTTTGAAAATTTTGTGAAAATCAGGTGGCCTTTTTTAAGAAAAAAAAAAGAGATTATACCCCATATCAAATTTGGTTGATCATTTTGAAAATTACTCTTTCTCTGATTATATGACATTATCTAGGTCTTCCATCCAGTGAGGAACTGAAGTTCTCAGGATCTATGATGGAAGGGGAACGATTGGCATTCATTGCTTCATATCATGGAGGGTGAGAATGTAATTCAAAATTTAAATTTCCCATTTTCTTCAATTGTACTTCTAATCACCTTTCTGATCTGTTCCAGGGTAAAAGGCAACTGTTGTACTGAATGGTTTAGAATTCAAAACAATGGTCACAAGGAGAAATTATGTGCTAATGGTGAGGAGAGAATTTTCATGCTATATAATGAAATGAATGGTTATCTAAATATGTCATATTAGCAGATTATCTGGATCTAACCCTTGATGATGTTGGGAGCCGCATTGAAATTATTTTTACGCCTGTTCGGGATGATGGAATAAGAGGAATTCCCCAGAGTATTATATCTGATGTTATCATTCCTGGTAGGTGGTTTGAACACACAAATTTGCTTCATTATATTTTCTTCCTATGTTTTTAATAACTGATTTTAACCATTGTGCATGTTTTTGATGTATGTTGACTATTCTTGCTAGTAAGCTGCTTTGTTCTTATTAGATTGATTAGATTTGATAAAATTCTATCAGTATGCTCGACTGTTGTGCAGATTTCTCTTTAAATTGACTACTTGGCTGAAAGTTAACCCCACTTTTTCTGTAATTTTTAAAAGTTACTGCCTCCGTTATTTTTTTTAGTTGACAAGTTTTGCACTATTCACACACCTACCTTTGACCGTATTTTGTGATTTATACGTAATGAAAAATGTAGTTAGGTGTGATCTTGTTAGATTCGTCATGATATATATTTTCAAAATATCAACTTTGTATAATTTTTGCTTATTGGTAATTAAAGGTATTAATGGTTAAATTTGTGCATTGACAAACGTGACTAAAGAAACGTGTCAGCTAAAATGAAATGAAGGAAGTAGAAGTAATATTTAGCCTGTGTACCCTGATTTCTTTTTACTTTTTTTTTTTAAACTAAAAATTGATTCATAAATAAAAAGTCAAACAACATTTACAAAGAGATTTATATCTAATAAATACATGATAATTGAATCAAATCAAAAAATTCTTTCAGAAAAGCTACGATCGTTGTTGCAAATCGTACATGTTTCATACCCTCTTTCATATCGTTGTGATATACGACCTTTTTCGACGAGGGGGTCTATTGATCTGTTGTAGCCGTGAAGAAAATTTTCGTCTGATTTATCTGATTGTAATCGAACGATTAACCTCTTTTTTTATCCTGCACAAATCTTTACCCATGAAAGAACTTGTACTATGCTAAACTCAAAAACAAAACTTGAACAAAACCACCATAGGGGCACTTACGGCATTGAAGCCCACTATAAGGGTACTTACTACACTCAAAGAATGTAGATTTATTGTATTTAATAACAAAAACATAAAGTAAATAATGGAAAAGGGTCGAGCAATTTGGCTATTTCCGGCCTATGAAACACTTATTTTGAAGAACCCCGGAGAGAAAAAAGAGAGAGAAAATAGAGAAGAGGCTGATTTTTACTTTGATTATGTGTATTTGGAAAATTTACCGGCTACAATTGGCACAATTTCTAGCAGGCAGTGGATGAGGGGATTAACACCCACAAAGAAACATATAGAATAAAACTTAAGAGTATTACCCTGTAAGAAGTCGCCACATTACTTCAACTATAATGTTAACGGTGATGAGAATTGAACCCTTAACTCAGGGTTAGGAGCCAGGAGCTCTGCCTGTTGTAATGGATTTACAAGGTTCAGTAACAATGTGTTAGTTACGTACAGGGGAAGGTGAAAGGATGTTTGATTGATCTTGAGGATTATAAAAAATTACACAAATAGGCTAGGTTAAAAACCTAGTGATATCCCCATGCTGGGTTGTTTGCAGGGGGTAAACATATTCAACTCCCACTGCTTCTAAGGATACTTTGACTTCTTGATTTTTTTTTTTTTTTCCGTGGTTATACACTTATACATCACCTGTTTCTGACTAATATTTTGTTAGGAAAACAAACTATATTCTGACCTATTTGACTATTAGTATGATTCCTCGAGGCCTGACCCCCATGTAGTTTCTCATCAACGTAAAGTTCATGACACTTGGATTTGGGCATTTGTCTTCATGGCAACCTGTTGTCTTGTGATGGTTGGATGGAATATGACTATATGAGTATGGACTATCGATATGTGTTGTTTTTTATTTTTATTTTTTTGTTTTTTTTTATTCACTTAGTTGAACATTACTAATGTTTATTTTTTTGTTTTTGTTTCTATTTTTATATTTGCCAGCTGATCCTGTGGGTTTGGAGCTTACTATTCCTGGTTGCTGTGAGGCTGAGGTGGTGCTTCCACATAAGATATACTTTGGCGGACATGAAGGTGTTGGGGAATATATTTGGTACAGAACGAAGAATAAGCTTCATGGATCTGATTTGAGTAGCATATCTGATGCATATGATGATATTGTTATTTGTGGTAGAGACTTGTAAGTAATATATTGCTTGGGTCTGTACATAGTTTAACATATCCATTTCCATGCTGTAGTTCAATAATTCTGATGATGAATTGATGTTACAGAACATACACACCATTTCTTGATGATGTGGGGACATATTTGGTGCTATATTGGGTTCCAATTCGTGATGACGGGAAACCGGGCAAGCCATTGGTTTCAATTTGTGATGATCCAGTTGCCCCAGGTATAAAGCGGTTCACTTTTTATTATGCATGCAGTTTCCTTTGTAGGCAATTCTAATGGATATAAACACGTGACTGTTAGCTTATGATTGTATGGACAGGATCTGTTGTTCTTTTCTTGTAGTAATTTTCTTAGGGGCTGGTGGTGTTGGATGGAGTATGTAGTGATGAGAGCTATCTGGTGCTTCTTTTATTAGATTTTGGCTGTAGATTATCTATTCATCCGTGATTAATTGCCCAAGCACATGGTTCTGTTACATGCTAACATTTTGCACCTGGTTGTTTGCTTGGAACTGGGCTGTATGCAAGTTTCCAGTAGTCACTAATATTAAAGTTGAACTGTTTGACTTCTACAGCTCATCCCGTTGTCAGAAATATTGGTGTGAAATCTTTGAATTTAAGCACTTATTCTGGCGAAGGTGAATATTTTGGGGGACATGAAGGATCAAGCTTGTTCAGCTGGTACAGAGAAACAGCTGAGGGCACAATTACTTTAATTAATGGGGCTGATTCTCTGACATATGAAGTCACTGAATCGGATTACAATTGTCGTTTGTTGTTTGGGTAAGTTATTATTATGTATCTGCATAGTGTATGTAAGAGCCAAGCCATATTGATGGTAGGGGCTGCATATTTGACCCTTATTTTAGACTGATTTTATCTCTTGAAGCTATTCGTGATTGCATGTTAATGAATCACCTTTTTACATAATGAATATAAAAAAGTAACCATTACTGGAATAATTTCCATGGAATTTAAAAATCTATTTTTAGTTTTTTATTTTATTTATATATATTTATATAGGAAGTTACATTTGTTGATTCTTAATGTTGACTTTTATAAGTAACAGGGTAACTTAGATTTTAGCTAATCTATGCTTTGAAATTTTGCTACATTAAATCTTTTTGCAACAGACATACACCAGTTCGTTTGGATTCAGTCGTTGGGGAACTCAGGCTTTCAGATCCGACCAACTTTATATTTCCTGGTAAGATTGCTTCTGAGGAATGTCCTTTGCATGTGCTATGAATTAGTTTTATGATCTGTCTCAAACTATTAGGACCTCACTTGTGTGTCTGCACATGCACATCAGGTGGGTGATGTGTGTGTGTGTGTGTGTGTGTGTGTGTACACACGCTCCTTTGCTTGTGTAATGAATTAGTTATCTAGTTTAAGTCAAGCTATCAGGGTCCCAGTCTTGGGAGTTCTGCTCTTTACTAAAACAAGTATGTAACATCCAGATGTAACGCGAACTCAAATATTATTTCTTGATTTGATATCAAATTTGATATTGTTTGTAGCACGTAGCAGTAATTCTTAGGCTCATTTGAAATACGCTCTATGCCAGTTGTCCTGGATTATTATTTTAGAACAAGAGGAAAACAGCCCGTATCCCAAGGACAAAAAGCTGAAGTAAAAATATTTCCAGCATTTCCATTGCCATATTCTTACCCACTTACTTGCTCTCATATAATGTATTCTGTTTAGTGTCTTCACCTTTCTAATAAAATTTTGTTGATCCAAAATACTTTAGTTGATCAGTTGACCAACTCTTATGGGGTTTGCATGAGAATGAGGTATTCGATTATAAGAGATGGAGGAAGATTTTTGTGGATGACTATACGGAATAATCACTTTTGGTTCATATAGCCAACCCCACTTATGGGATTAAGGCTTTGATTGATTGATTGAGTTGACCACTCTAATGTCTTTGGATTCTCTCTCTCTCTCTCTCTCTGTGGGTGTGTGTGTGTACTGGGCTTATATTTGTTTGAGCTGAGCTGGTTCAACCCTGGAGGTTGAAAATAAAATGTTGACGTGGCTTGGGAATGATGAACAAAGGTAACAAATTAACGGGCAGATATTGACCAAAAAACTTCCTCCTGTCAAAAATCCAAGCACTCGTCTTTTCTTGATTTTGTGGACATAATATCTTGTATCCTGATGTCATAATTTTTTTACTAGCCCTTCATTTACTTTATGAATAATATTCCCTGATGCCTTGGTTAATCTCCGACTCCCTGATATAATGATGATTTCTGCTCAAGGCTCCTTTTATATGGTAGGCTGATAGCCCTAGGTTTAGAATTAACCCTAACCCCTATCCCTAATCCCTTTAAAAGTGGTTAGTGCCTCAATTTCTTATGAATACTGCTTTGGGTGAGAAAACCTTGAAGTTTTCTATAGCTACTAAATTCAGCCCTAGTTCGTGTGAAATTTTTCTGAAATGATTTGCATTTTCTGACTCATGTACCCTCATTTATCATGCACCATCACACTTTGTCCTTTTATTGTACGCATGGCACCTTTGTTTTTTCTATCTCTGAACACTTCTCTATCTTTTTCCTGCGCTCAGTGCTTGTTCTCTTAATGGCCAGACCTCCATTAAAACTATCCATTTCAGTTCCTGCTTGTTTAGCCTTTCTTATCCTTTGTCTTTATGTTGTACTTTTCCTTTGCAGTTCAGTTTCTTTTATCTGTTTCTATTATAACTTACAAGCAATAGATTGCTTGCTGTTCTGTGGCTTTTCTTCTAGGAAAATTTTGTATGAGGTAGGCTTGTTCCCAGACATAATAGAGATGGACTCTCAAATTGTCATACCTAATTACACGACTTTGACATAACTTGTAATTGTTATGGATTTCTAATACAAATTTGTACTCTATACCTTGTCTTTTTCTCTTGGATGATGAAATGATCTTTTCTTCCTTTAGAACTGTTGAAAATTGAGATGGTTGCTCTCACTGGAAAAGCAATGGAAGGAGAATTGCTCACTGCCGTTGAAGTTATTCCAAATAGCGAGAGCCAACAAATTGTTTGGAGCAAGTATAAGAAAGATGTCAAATATCAGTGGTAAGGTGTTGATAATTGCGCAAATGCATCATATTCTCTGCGTGTTTTGACTTAATGAATGATGAGTATTTGAGAATTTAATTTCTTTAGCATTTCCCCAAAATTCATCTATTTGGTAAATTCTTCTTTATTCAATGCTGGATCAATATAAATAATTTACTTTATTAGCTTTGATGTTGGTCATTCCTAGAAACTAATTTTTATGTACAAAGTCTACTAGTGTGATAGTAGCTCCAGTCGATAACAAGTTGGCAACAGAAACAACAACTATCCCAAAAGGATGTGGGGTCAGCTAACATGAACCATCATTCGTAATCATCAGTGAAAAGTGAATTAGGAAAAATCTGTTAAGAAAGTAAACTAAGTAGAGTGCGAAGCGAAAGTAGTGCAAAGTGAAAGTAGAGCAAGCTAGACTAGAGAAAACACAAGGAGATTTATTTGTTTATTTTTTTTTTGTTTTTTTTTTTTTTTAAATAAGAGTGGGTGACAAATTAAGCTAAACAAAGTAAAGGTGCTAAAAACAAAAGTAAATATGCTTTATATGCAAGCTGGGGATTTTTTAAATTTTAATTTTATTTTTGTATATCAGATATTTTTCAGAATTTTAAGTAATAATCATAAATTGAGGATATTTTGGCTCATAAATTGAACATATTTTGGTTCAATATGAAGTTAACTAGTGTAAATTACGTTTAATTTGGAAATTAATACTATTTGATAGGTTTTCCAAATTCAATATAATCCCTAAGGGAATAATAGTATATTATAATTGATATGTATTAAGTAACTTATTCTTTTAATATGAACTAGAAATGAATCGAATCTATAACAACATACTTTGTCCTAAGCCAATTTAAATATTTGTTGGAACAAAAATTTAGTTAAATGTGAAAATCAAAAGAAGAGAAGGTAGAAAAAAGAGAAAACTAGGGATAACATGTTAGTGGGCTTACTTGGATGGAACATTTGACAAAATCTGTTAAATGGTGGCAACATTAACTTATTTCAAAAGTAAAAGGCGGTAAAACTCAAAACCATCAAAAGTAAAGTGATAGAAATAAAAAATAGTCCTTTTTGTTTTAATATTTATGTTCTTCATGTAATGCTGATAGTTTGCTAGTAGTGTTCAATCAATGTACGTAGATTATACAATGAATGAGTTTACATTCTCAAGATAAAGTCAAACATCTATAAACAAGTCTTAAAGAATCACATCATATGCACAACTAAAGATAACCCAAGGTCACATTGTAATCCTACAATACCCATCGTTTGCAGTTACATGGTCAACAAGGCATGTGAATTAATTTTAATAATTGTTGGTTCATTTAGGCGAAACGAATGTTGCTATGCTGCCACACTTTTTTAGTTGGAAATATACAATGAATAATACTTCCTCCGTTTTCCTAATATTGCAACATGGGCGTTGGACATGGATTTTAAGAAGAAAGAGATAGAGAGAAATAAAGATAGGGACCCATGTAATGAGGCGAGAGAAAAAGAGAAAACATGTACAAATAGAGAAATGTTGCAATATATGTGAAACTTCCTAAAATGGTAATTGTTGCAATATTAGGGGAACGGAGGAAGTATTAATCACATCACCAAAGTACCAAATTACCAAAGCAGATAGATTCTTTTGCAAATTCCTTTGAGGAATTTCTTAATGAGCTTATATTTGAGCAAAATAAAGCAACATGAAATCTAAAGTATAATGAAATCTTCTTGAGACTATATTCCCAAATAGCTGGAAGACAAACTATATTTTAGATTCTTAATGTTAACTAGTGTGGACTTTTCTTAAGTTAACAGTCCCCTCTTCCCTACACCAGTCCCCACCTAACTTGTGGATAGGTGGGGACTGTTAACAGTCCCCTCTTCCCTACACCAGTCCCCACCTAACTTGTGGATAGGTGGGGACTGTTAACTTTAGTTTGCATGCATGTTGCATCAATTTGTATGGAAGAGGGTATTCGTTTTGTTCATTCAATGCATGATATTTTTCCTTTATAACATATTTGTTTTAATGGTCCGAGTTTAGCATACCCGTGGTATGCCCCTTCAAAATTAGTTTTCCATCCCCATTAGTGACTTTGGTCGCCACATTTGTAAAGGAAAAAGAAATCAACAACTTAACCAGAAAGTGGTGTTTTCATTTTTCAAAAGCATTTATTTGAGGAATATACCTATTTTTTTTTTTTTTTTGATAGATTATTATCTGAAACTTTTAGGTTACCTTGGCGTTGACATGCACTATGCTGTAGGTATTATTCTTCAGATTCTGAGGATGTCAGATCCTGGGAGTTACTTTCTTCAGAAAGTTCCTGCTCTTACAGATTGCGTTATGAAGACATTGATCGCTGCTTGAGATGTGAGTGCATTGTTACTGATGTCTTTGGAAGGTCAAGTGAGCCCGTATATACTGAAAGTACTCTTATAATGCCTGGTATATCTTTTTTCCCACTTTTTCTCTTCTGTTCTTCTCCCAGATCCTAAAATGAATTACTCTGTAATACAGATACAAAGGGAATAAAGAAGAGGGAAATGATTCATGATGTATACTTGGGAAATAACATCTTAATTCGCATGAGTATGTCATAGTTGCTGAATGGGTTATTAGTAACCTAAAATAGTAGTTCTTCTATGGAGAAGCTGGACCATAAGTAAAGAAGTTGTCTTATATTGACTGTCATGACTGATGTTAGAATGCACATACAGTTAGATGATAATCTTTATTTTATATGACCATGTGATGTTTGCTTTTATATGGTAGAGGTTGATAATTCTATTCCATATCTGTATGTTTCACCCTTTGTTTACTTAGTAATGACCAATTTCCGTTGGGTTAGATATCTGAAATCTGCTTTATTCATTGTGTATTTGAGCATTTTACATGCAATAGGCTATGTCTGATGTACTGTTTTGTCATCAAAGAAAATTTTCTTCCCACTGTTCTCACTTGAGAGGTACTGAGCTACTCAAATGGATGATAAACAGCGTGAAGGGAATGCAAGCATAACTAATTGTTGTACATGTCTTATTACCTTAAATGGAAAATTCACCTTTTATATAACACATCCAACTCATGTGTTGTGGGCCCTAGTACTAGCTATCTCACTCTCTCTTTCTTCATAAATCAAGTGATGTTGAACCCTCCATCAACTCTTGTTTCCTTATTCAAATTTTAATTCTTGTTTTTCCTCTATCCAACAAAAAAATCTACATACCCTACTATCTATGTTAATATGAGTTTGCAAGTCCATAAGGACAATAATTGGAGGATTGAGGGAGCACAATTCATTGTTTTCTGAGCTGACGAGTCATGCAACTTACATTTCATATTACTTGCTTGAAGTTGCCGCTATTTAGTCAATACATTTTCCACTTAGCTCTACTCAGCAGTCATGTTATCCTATAATATTTATGTAGGAGTTGTTCTATCAAATTAAATTCTTGCTATCTTCAGGAATACCTAGAATTAATGAACTGGAGATTGAGGGAAGAGGATTTCACACTAATTTGTATGCTGTTCGAGGAGTTTATAGTGGAGGAAAAGAGGGAAAATGCAGAATACAGTGGCTTAGATCCATGGTTGGCAGTCCTGATCTCATCTCTATTCCAGGTATGTCCGTCAGGCTTACTCTGTGTCTCCATAAACTTCATTATATGTTAGCCTATTATCATCTTTTTATGCATGTACATGTGACCTTATCTAATAACTATCATTGTAATCTAATAACTATCATAATAAAACCTCATCATTGGCAAATGACATTCATAGTGATATGATAGATCATTATATACATAGAAGATGAACATGTAGAATATGTTGGTCTTTCGTCCTTAAAGAACAGATTAATGGAAGAGTTATATTTAATGTGTTGTATGGGATCATCTTTTAGATTAAGCAGTAATAAAGGCATTTGAAATATCATATTGAATTTATAGCAGGACGTAGCATCGTTGCGTCATTTTAGGCTCATCTGTGCTGGAGAATACAAACGTTATTCTTAGTCTATTAGGAAGCCCCCCAGGAATTGGCTGTTGGAATAGAACTTGGCTGGGGTTAGGGGAGTATCCTGTGTTATTTCGATTGTTTATGGTTAAGAAGCTGCTGGAAAAATGTCAACCAGGCTGAAGTGTGTTAAATTTCATTTCGAGTGAATAGTGTAGGAGAAGCTTTTTGAATCTGTCTATTGTTTGCAATTTGAATTACTGTCGCCGCCTGGATAGTGGGTACTCTAATCAATTACAAACTACCATATGTGCTCTGAAGTTTCTTAAATTTTATATCTTCATTGAAACACTTAGTGAGGCTTTTTTCAAATCTGCATTGTCAGAATTTTACATTATTGTTACTGAACGTATACTTAAGTCATTAACAAACTCCGATATGCATTTTGCTCATCGGCATTCACTAAGCACATCATTTATTGTGACTGTGAGAACCTTATGAGTTATGATGTTTACTATTTCAGGGGAAATAGGAAGGATGTATGAAGCTAATGTTGATGATGTGGGGTACCGACTTGTAGCAGTATACACCCCTGTGAGAGATGATGGAGTTGAGGGACACCCGGTCTCGGCTTCAACAGAGCCAATAGCAGTCGGTAAACACTTTTGTAAATAGATATTCAGAGATTATTTCTTAAGAACTTTGCTTTTGTTTGAGTATTAGTTTTCTTTCCCTATCATTTTTGTCTGATACAGAACAGCAGTTATCATCTTTTTTATACCCAGTTGGTTTTCTTACAAATCATATGGCTGTCATAAGATCATATTATCTCCCTGTGCTTGAATTATGATTGCGGAACAAATCATTTCAACATCATTGCATAATTTGATTCCATCGATGCCCCTTCCCCTTCCCCCTCTCCAGATGTTTAATGTTATTTTCAGTCACTTTTCATTGAGGAAAGTTCTGAATGTTTTATGCTTACATGATAGATCACTGTACCCTTGTAATTTTTTTTTTTTGAAAGATACCCTTGTAAATTCTAATAGTTCCTTAAATCTGACCTTTTGCCTTGTTGCTTGCAGAGCCTGATGTTCTTGAAGAAGTTAAGAAAAAGCTTGATTTTGGTTTTGCGAAGTTTGAGGTACTAATGTGCTCAATAAAATTTGATTATATTGATGAAAGAAATTTGCAGCTCAACTAATATATTATAATTATCTCTTTGTGGTCATCATTTGTCTTCCAAATAAGGCCATGCATGAGTTTTCAAAATTATGGGTTGTCTTTTGACCACTCTGTCTTTCTGTGCCAATAGTTTATTATCTGTCCTCTCATGCATAGGTGGTCAATATTATTAGCTTTCACTCTTTCCATTTCCAATTAGTGTATACAAGTTATTGATTTTGGTCCTGTAAACAAATGAATTTTAAAAGTCCACAAGAAACAGAATTTGTACCTTTCTGGTCCATGGGGTGACTTAACTTACTGTTAGAACAGTTTTGTTTGCCAAATCTATAATTGCAAAGTTTCAATACTTTAAACCTGATTGTTTGGAGAACAGATGAACAATATTGTCACAATTCGCGTAAAAGGATACTCCAACCGTCCCTTTTTGATCTACCCTTATGCCATTTTCGGCGGACCTAAATGATGTACCCATTTCATTTTTTTTTGTAATTGAAGGATAACATTAAATTACCCTTTTACCTTCATTTTCTCTTGTCTTTATTTGGTGATCTTCCTATATTACCCTTTATTTTGCAAATATACTTGTGCAAAGGTTAGCTTTTCCATGTGAATTTAATTTTCCCATGTACTTCCACTACTTTCTCTCTCTACTTTTTTTGCTTTCAATGTGAATTTAGCTTTCCCATGTACTACTACTACTACTTCCTCCTTCCCCTTCTTAATTCCTGTAAAAATTGGCCATAAGGGTAGATAAAAAAGGGGCAGAGGGACTATTATTTTGGGCCAATATGATATGCAATTATAGGCCGTTTTGAGGTTGAATTTCTGAATCAATCCAAATGAGTATTTAAAGGAATCAAAGTACATTCACAAAGGCCCACAAAGTTCCAGAATAATCACTGATAATTTTGCTAATTTCATCTGCTTGAATGGTTTAAGACAGTTCTAAAAGTCTCACAAGTAACTAGTTGTGCTTTAGGCTTAATGTTAACAAAAGACCCAAAATAGTATTATTTGGCAAAGCTATTGTTGTCATTAAGAACACAAGACATACTCTATGTCTTGTGTTATTTTGAGGTTTGTTATCAAAATGCTCTTGTCATCCAAATATTTGAGGAGGCCACACACTTGTTAATCATTATTTATGGAGGCCATATCCAAATATTAGTTCAGCTTATCCAAGTGTTCATGCTCATATCAAAATGCTCTTGTTATCCAAATAACCCATGACAAGAGTATGTCATCCTTATTTGTTAAGGCCATCCATAAAACCAAATCCTCATTATTGTGAATCTTTCCTAAGTCTTGCTTTTCTAAAATAGTTTATCCCAAGATTTGATGAAAAATACCAAGGACCAGAGGGTGAGTTTCCTTCCATGAGTTAGAATGAAATTCTACCTCCCCGATCACTTCTTGCGCCACCAACCATATTACTACACACTAAATTTTGCAAACTTCAAATAGATATGCCGGCATCCGGATTAAAACAAATTAGCTCATTGTGTTGTCGGAGGGTGAGTTTTTGAGGTTTGTTGTAGAGTTGGAATAACCGAAGTCATTGTTTCCAATTAAAGTAATTACAGATGATAAGAAAAACTCAAGATTTAAGTACGGGTAAGTTTTGGAAAGCCAATTCATGAACTTCCTCAAACCAAGATTATAAGTAGAAAACCCAAGTTCTCATCAATCCCTAATTTTTGTGTTGCTTCATCTAAGTACCATTGGGTGCTATTCACCTTTCTTTTTGGTATGTTGTAGACGGTTTGCTGCTGCCAGTTACGGATTTTAAGGGTTGGTATGGTGACATTTATGGCAGTTTCTTGTTGTTCTTGTTATGGTTCCTTACCCCTACTTCTCTGGGATAATATACAGCTTGAAGCTATTCCCAACTTAATCACCAATGATCATGCAACCAATACAAATGTTCATATGAATCCACAATGTAATTGTTGTATTCTTATCCTACACCCAAGTATTCACAAAGATTTGTCACAATATCAACAATGCTATCACTAATTACAAATCAACAACTAAAATTAGGTGTCCAAACCTCATATTATATCAATTAGTATCATTAACTTAAAATTGATGTCATGGTTTTCAAAAAGAAAAAAAAAAAGAAAAAAAAGAAAAAAAAAAAAGAGATATGTCATAAATGCCACCTTTTAGAGTTTCAGCTCAAAACTCTTTCACCTTCAGTATCAAGCTCTTTAACAAGGAGGAAATTGGGGTTCTTTTTCTAGAAAATATTTTAGTAGGGAGAGTGGGTTTTTGATGAAATAAATGTGATAGAGATTATATTTTTTTGAGTACTTGAGTGCAAATTAGGTGAAACTTGATTAAGGTTTGAGAGTTGTGGGGTTTGGAGTAAAAAGGGTAGTATGAGAGTGTTAGCAAGATAGGCTATCCAATTGAAGTCAATTACTCGCTTAGTGGGTGTCGCTAGTCTTTTCATGTAGTGAGCCTCTGCTCAATGGTATCTCTTAATGACTTTAGGCACTCATATCCTTCTGCCTACATTAAGAGGGTTTTCAGCTCAAATTATTGACTTAAGGCTCTAAATTTTCCTATAATTCCCACAAGTATGTCTCTCTACGGGCTTTCAACACTACCTACTTGTGGCTTGAATTAAACATGGTATTTCTCATTATTTGCAATCTATATCCAAAATGACAAAGTAGAGAAAATGCCAGAATAAAGTTATTTAATGAGAATAAAAATGGCTTGCCCTTTCGTGTCTTTAATAATGCAGTGTCTTAACTTGATGTCTCTTTCTTGTATCAATGAGGATGAGTGTGTAAACCGTGCCAATCTTGACACCTTCATAGTACAACTCGCAACGATGTCCGTTGACTAATGAATGAACTTGACTTACCCTTATCCCATAACCCAACAACCCCATGTGGGAAGACCTCTTTCACCTCAGCGAGCCACTACACTAGGATTTGAGCTTCCTAGGAAATAATTTTGATTCAAAAATGTACTAGAGGCTTTGTCATCAACATTGAACTCCTTTTATGATTTGGAAATCATGCCACTTTTTGGTTCGAGCCTTATACACACTAGCACAAACATAGGTTCTTCCAACTTATGTAAATCTAACCACCTTTGCTCAGTGGTGTTAGCAAGATCAAAGTTTATCTTCTTGATCACACATTGAGTTTTATGCTTTAACTCAAGTGACACAACTTCCCATAGGCAAGCTTGTAAGAAGTTCCCAATTTGAGTCTTGAAACGCAGTTCTATAAGGCCAAAGAGCTGCATATACCTTCTCTCCAATTTTTCCTATATTTTGCTGCCATCTTTGGGCGACCGTTTGATAATAACCAATGAAAAAAGAAAAGGAAAAGACCCATGATATACTTTTTCTCTTGGTTGGAAATTTGGGCTTGGCTGGTGATATGCAAGACCAACCTTGTGATGAACTACATCTTCAACATCTTTTGGAAGGCACCATGAGCAAATGAGAACCCCCATCACCAATTATGGCTCCTGTAATTCCAATTCTCAGGAAAATAATTTTCTTCAGCACCTTCATTGCAACTTTGTGATCATGAGTAAGGAGACAATGGCCTCAACCCATTTCAATACTGCACTCAGAAAGGGAATGAGAGGAAGGGGGGGGGGGGGGTCATATTGGATGTTCTAACCTAATGTGTTGACCCTTTTGATGACAGAGGGGCTGATTTTGTTAATCTAGTAAGATACACAATTGTTATCTAATGCTCCAAACTGACTAAAAGTTACAGAGCTATTAATCTCACTTCATTATGATTCAATATTCAAAGAACATTAAATCTCACTTCATTTGAACTAGGCATGATATTTTGCTTCAATTTTCCTTTAATCTCACTTCATTATAATTAAAATTCAAAGGATATGTGAACCTTTTCCAGTGTGGTCTGCTTAAGCTTAACGACTTTTACTGTTTGCAACAGGTAATATGCAACAAGGCTCCATCATCCAAGAAGGTTGCTACTTCTGCTGCCATTTTTTTTTTTTTTTTGAAATATCTGTATATTATTAAAATTTTCTTCTGAATTGATGATTTAAAATACCATATTACATCCCAGATTTTGGATACTGGGGGACTTGAGAGGAGAATACTTGAAATCAACAGAAAGAGAGCCAAAGTGGTGAAGCCTGGTTCTAAAACCTCTTTCCCAACTACTGAAATGCGTGGCAGTTATGCTCCCCCATTCCATGTAAGTAATACTCAGCTAGGCAGACTATCACTTTTTATCCATCATAGCATTTTAACTATACTGCAATATTTTGAGCATTACCCAGTAATTTTCTTTTTCATTGTTTATGTCAATTGGAATAGTGGTACATGAGTATTGTCTTTGCTTTGTTCCACTATCTCAAATCCATGTATTAAGATCGATCAGGATACTGACTACATAATTATAAGCCATACTATTAACATGATTAAAAGATTCCAAACCAGAGCAAAACAGTACATGATACCTTGTCTAGCTGCTGTGAGTAGTCTTTCTCTTGTAAAAATGGTATTTAGTTGATGTTTCCCTTGCTAGAAGATGACACGCCAACTTTATCTCGGTCAAATCAGTTTTTTGTCATTGCGAGATTAGTACTTAATCCCTTAAATTTTGAACGTGGGGCCTGAAGATATTTGATAAACATATGGTGGTGCATTGATGCCATAGTTTATATGGTGTTTCTTAATGAGTACTCCGTATTAATTTTGCTGATTGATGGTAATGGTTGTAAAGTCCGTAATCTGGTGGTATTGGCCTGGTTTTGTATTATTTGTAGCCCAGGAGAGAGGTCTACTGTTCTCCGAAATTGCAAAGTTGTACCTTAGCACATACTTCTGTTAACGTACTTTTTCTTTTTCCAGTTACATGACTACTACAAAGCCATCTAAGTAATGGTGAGGACAAATACACTGCAACTGGAACCAATACTTTATATTAGATTGTGATTTAAATTTACAAATTGAGATTAAAAGTTTTATATTATTGTAAAGAATAAGTTATTAGTTCTAGAGAAATCTTATTCGTGGGTTGATATAGATTAAGATGATTTAGGACAAAAATCATCCAATGCATAAACATATTCTGACCTTTATCTGAAGAATGACATACTAATACATTTTTTTTAAATAAGATCTGCCAATTGGTGTATTACATATTTTCTCAGTTTATTTTGGTTGGAAAAGGTTTAATCATAACAGGTTTACTTGTTTGATCAGGTGGAGGTTTTTCGCAATGATCAACACCGGTTGAGGGTTGTGGTTGACAGCAATAATGAAGCAGATATTATAGTGCATACACGCTACTTGAGGGATGTAATTGTGCTTGTTCTCAGAGGTTTAGCTAAAAAATTCAACAGCACATCCCTAAATTCTTTGTTGAAATTAGAAACATAGGAACTTGTTCACAGTTTCACACAGTGAGTCTATGTAAAGGTCATTTTCATCAGTCTGAAGTAAGGTTTGTTTCATATCCGTTTATTTTCTAACTTGTATCGAAATTTTCATTAAAATTCATTGTAGGCAATGGCTGGTCGTGTAGCTGGAAGTTTGGCTCTGTAAATTTATTAATTTATGACAATGAGTAGAGAATTCAATGATGTTTTAATACTATATGTATATCATCGTATATTTTATATCTTCTTATGTTCGTCATACATTCTTTTATAGGAAAGTTTGATTCAGGTTATCAGCTTTTTCCCAACAGCATCCAACAAAGCACGATCATATAAAAACATTTCAATGATATGAGATGATCTCAGAAAAAGCCCCACATACTTAATAAGGGAAAGTGATGCACATAAAGCTTAAAAAAGGAAATATTAAGAATTAATAAACATTAATTGTACTGATTCATGCATGTTTTGAATCCTCACATTCATTCTATTTTAGAAAGTTTATTTATAGACCTTCTTCTCTTCAACTATTTTTGTACGAATTGAAATTATATTTACAGAACTTAAATTATTTTTGTAATTTTGAAGCCAACTAGCCATCATGTTTTAAAAATTGTTATCATTAACTTTGAAAAAGTGTTTTTGTAAAAGGAGTGGCTTAGCCGTTGATGACATAAGAGAAACTAAAAACAATATATTTTCATAATAATTTAACTATTTTCCCCCTGTTGAGAAAATGTCAAAATGAAGTTCACATAACTTGTAGCATAGTAACTTGTAGCTCATCACATGAATTTATTATGGACAATAATTTGTCTAAAAGTACAATCATGTATAATATTATAATGACAATATTTACCTATAAATAAGTTCACTATCTTGTGAACTATGAAATGAAGAAGTAGAAAATACAACCGACTCTTTTATTTGCTCCTTTGCTTTCTTCTATCTCCACAAACATACAATATCATCCTATAATTAGAAAGTCATATTTTAACACGTTATCAGCACCAATTCCTAGTCAGGTATATTTATACCTACTTCTCAAAATTATAACAAATAAATATTATCTACTTCTAAATGTTTTGAGGAATATGCTCTATAGTTGCCCATATTTTGGGATCCTCTATACCAGAAACTCAAACATTTACTGTATTATATATCACAAAAAAAAAAAAAACACACACACACACAACGGTGAAAAATAAAATCCTCTTATAACTTATGAATTCATTACTTTCCCTCCTTGTTTTATTCATGTTGGTATCTCGATTTTTTTGTTTGATTCATGCATGTTGATATTACGTACTCACCTTTTATGTAAAATTTAATCTCTAGTTATTATAATTGATTAGTAGTGACTTTGCATACATATTATTAACTAAATTGACGAAAAGATGCAGCCTTTTTTTTTACTTATTATTTTTTTTCTTTCTTTTACGTACTTTTTGTGTTTCTTTCAGTTTTTGAACCCATGATCTTTTATAGATATTAGGGCTCTCAGACCACTATGGCTTGCATTCCCAGTGTGATAACCTTTTACAATTATAAATACTTATATTTGGACCATAATTTTGCCAGTACATTAAACTATTATATGATTTTTTTTTTTTACAATTGTACAAAACAGTAACAGATAAACCTACCTCTATAAAAGGTAGATTTTCCCTGATTTTCACCACAAATCCCTTATCCTTTCCCATTTTTTTCCTTTATCCAAAAAAAAAAAAATTTCACTCCTTCCTCTCCAATATGTTCCCAAACGGCAACCACAACACTCAAAACACCCACACCTTCACCTTTGAGGAAGATTTAAGGAAGATAAAACAATATCTTCTTCTAATTATGGCGCTTGTAGTTATGTTAGTAGCAATATTAATTTTTGTCAAGATGTACAAGTGAAGTTTGTTTATTTTGTTAGTTTAGTAGATTAAAATCATGTTTTTGTTTTATTATGTTATTTTGTTGTTATTAATCACATTGTATAATATAACCATTATTATTATAATTATTATTACTATTGTTGTTGTTATCGTTTTGCTGTTTATGCGACTAATATGATTTATTTTTGCCTAATCATACAGTTACTCAGAATAATAAACCAAGGGGGAGAAAGAACTTTATATATTATTTATGGTTTATCGTTGTTAAATAAAGTTATTTATCATGTGTTTCATTAACAAACTAAAAATATGGAAGAATTAAACATATGTGATGTACGTATGATTTATTATTGATTAGGGGATTTTTCCCCACCAATCACCATCTGACAAGTGGATTAATCAGGTTCCGCCATGTGTCCGTCACATGGGCCAATAGGAGCCTGCCACGTGTCAAGCAATGATCCGTCCACTATGGACCAATTACGACACGACACGTGTCCTTCCCATGACACCTGGGATAACCGGTCACCTAGGCCCAACTTCCGAGGGAAGCCCAATCAGCCCAAGGTTAACCTAAACCTAGATTGGCACGTTTCCCGAGGTTATAAATACCTCCCTTAATCCTCATTAAGGGAGATAACACGTTAAAAACGCAGATTACACACATTAAACACTCTCACCTAGAGAGACCCAATCACTTTAATTTCCGCATTAATTACTCCTTAATCAAATACTAACTTGACCGTCGGAGGCGGATCTCCAATCATCCGGAGCATCCGTTTGTTTTGCAGGTACTGGTGTCCGGTTCCAGTCTCGGAATTGTAACTCTCCCGCAGGACATCAGAAAACCCCGAAACATCTTGGCGCCGTCTGTGGGGAGAGTACTTCTGAGATGGCATCCACGTTTGTACCGACTCCTGAAGAGAGACGTCCCCTGGACGATCCTCTAGTTCAGTCGGACCGCGATACTGAGAATGAATTTGAAGTTGAAGCTCACACAGCTTCAGACGGGACCCTAAGGGCCCGACGTACCCGTCATACCGAAAGGAGGGAACGGGAACATCTTCATACAGGAAGCGAGCCAGCAGGCGCACCGCCTGTTCGGCAACAGCCGACTGATGGGTCTGCTCCCATCACAAGGAGTGAACTCATGACCTTCATGAGGGACTTCAAGGGAGAAATTCAAGAGTTGATCAACAAGAAGCCGCCTGCTCTGGACAAGGAGCAGTCGGCTAAGAAACCCTCCACTTCACAGAAGAGGAAGCCAGTTCAAGGGCGAGAGGCGACTCCTCATCCTAAATCTAGGAAGCGGGAGCCGACTGCCCTTGATTTCACAAAATACCGTTTTCCTACTCCAGGAAATAGGAAACCTGTTCGTCATATTCAGGCGGACGGGTCGAGGAAAACATACACAGACGCTCGGCTACTGGTAGAGCAGAAGAAGAGTGACCGATTGTCAGAGTCGGCCTCTACTTCAAACTTCCACGACAGTCTGCGAAATACCTCGTTGAGGCATACTCAGTCGTATCATAAGAGTCAGTCAGGCAGCTACGGTTGCTTAGACTTGGTGAACAGCCGTCGACCTTCTCCAAGGAAATTACTGAAGCCGCTCAGCCGGCCAAAGTGAAAAATGTATTAGTAGGCGCCTATGACGGCACTACTAACCTAGAAGACCATCTGATGGCATTCACCAACCTGATGTACCTTCATGGGTTGGATGATCCCACTTGGTGCAAGTGTTTCCCAGCGACTCTCAAAGGAATCGCACAACAATGGTTCGGCAACCTGCCGACTGGTTGTGTAAATAACTTCAAGACGCTTGCTTACTTATTCACCTCCAACTTTGCCATGAACTTCCCTGCGAAGAAGACGACCCTTGATTTAGGAACAATTCAGCAGGGCGAGAAGGAGGGGCTTCGTTCTTACATCAGGCGATTTAACCTGATGAGAATACAGATTCAAGGGTTACCGGATGAAGTAGCCTATACTGACTTTTTCAGAGGTCTCAAAGACGGGTCGACCTTCAAATTTGATTTGGTCCGAAAGAGGGTGGCGACTCTTCAAGAGGCCTTGATTGAAGCGGAAGCCTATATACAGGCGACTGATCTTTGTAGTACGGTAAAACAGTCAGACGGGAAAAGGTCCGACAAAAGAGAAGGACGACAGAAGCAGTCGTCAAACAAAGACGAGAAGAGAAAAGAGGTCTGGGCAACTGATTCCTTTAAACAGCCGTCCCAGAAGAAGAAAAAAGAATTCAAACCATACTCCCCAAAGTATGTGTTTAACAAGGATAGCCAATTTCTCCTAAAGGAAATCAAGGGACGGATCTCAATTGAGAAGCCGGTCCCCATGAAGGGTTCTGCAAACAATCGGAACCAAGAAAAATTCTGTGATTATCATGAAGATGTTGGTCATCACACCAATGAATGCATCAGTCTCATGCGGTATCTGGACCGCCTGGCTGAGCAAGGTGACCTTGACACTTATGTCAAGAAATCTACGGGGAACACTTCCTAGAAAAAGCAGTCGGCCAAAAAGAATCAACAGGCCGACATTTCCGATACAGATGATGCAGTCGTCTACACCATTGCAGGCGGCTTCTCAGGAGGCGGCCCCACTATTAGGGGCAACAAAGACAATATCAGACGGTTAGATGTAAATTCCGTTCACCAAGAACGACCCTCCAAATATTCATTTCCTGAGATTGTCATCACTGAAGAAGATCTAGGAGGGGTAAGAGGGCCGCATGACGACCCTATCGTTATTGAATGTAAAGTGGCCAACCAGAGAGTTGGCCGAATCCTCATAGATACCGGAAGCTCCTCAGATCTCATCAGTAGCAAATGTCTGTCGAAACTAAAATATCAGACTGATTGCATACATCCGGCATCCCACCCTTTAGTAGGGTTTGGAGGAGGAGTCGTCCACCCAGTGGGACGAGTGGATTTACCCATCCTCCAGGGCAAAAAAGGGGAAGGACGACACATGGTAGTCCGGTTCCTGGTAGTAGAAGAACTCTCGGCCTACAACATGATTCTGGGACGACCAACCCTGAATAATTCCAAGGCTGTTATAATCCCATCTCTTATGTTGCTCAAGTTTGAGAGGGATAATGGAA